ATTCTTTTGTACACATTAGGTTTTAATAAGGTCATAAAAAATAATAGCGAACTCAACCAATTATTATTTTCACACATCAGGATGGGACTGCAGATAAGGAGGAAGTAATATCAATACTGACAAAACACAAAGGTATAAGACTTTGTTTTTTTTTTTTTTCATTAATTTTGGACCTTATGTATGTAATATACACTAGCAAAGATGAGTTGTTTTTTATTTTATTTTTTTTTATTTGGTGAACATGTGAAAACAAAACGAGATGAAAATATAAGTGTATAATATGAAAAGTAGCTTTGTTACTTAATATGTCCATCGGTTTTTATCAGTGAAGTTTTCAAAGGTTTCTGGTGCTGGAGCTAAAAGAAGTCAGATAGCCTTGAAAAGCACCTCATTTTTTTTCATATCAAATTTTTATCACCTAATTTTATTTGTGCTTGCATCATATGAAGAGGAAATGTGGAAGATGTGAGCATTTGCCAGACAGGAAGAGTTGAGCAGAGAGACACAACTGAGCCAAGAGTTTTTGGAGCATGTCCAAGGACAAAAGGTCAACGTATCTCAGCTTTTGTTGACAAAACGTCTAACGTTGACCATGTAACCATGATGATGCATGTCCCCTTTGCCTTAACAAAATAGTAATTTTAACCCAAATCAGTGTTTCCATAATCTTAACTACAGTATGTATTGTAACCCAAACCATGATTGAACTTTCCCTAAACCCAACCAAGTGATTTTTTTTTTTTTTTGTGCCTAAACGGACCCAAACCTTAAATGAGTTATTTTTCAGTATGGATCTGTGACAGGCAAATGATGTCAAGTCAATATCACAAATTTGCCTGAAGGGGCTTTACAGTCTGTACAGCATATGCCTCCTTCTGTAGACATTTGAATCAAAATGAATAAATTAACTTAGAAAATCCTTTTAATTGGAGAAGAAATTGATTGATTAAACCTCAGGGAGAGCAGCAGAGGAATGTATGGGACAGACATGTAACAGATGTGTGTACACAATACATAGCAGATTTACAGTATGGACAACCAGAACAGGAAAATGCATGTATATATATATTGTGTGTATATAAAGAACATTGTATAAGCATAAGTGAGAAACATGATATTGGAGGATGACCCAACTTCCAGATACAGACCTGGTGGGAGGATAGATTACATAACAACACAAGAGGCAAAACCGCAACACATCATTCACACATATAGTGGAAGGAAACAAACACATTATAGAGATGGATAGCGAGAGAGAGAGAGAGAGAGAGAGAGAAAGAGAGAGAAGGATGGGAGGAAATGCACAGGAAATGAAGAGGAGAGGGACAAATAAGAGGCCAGACATCAGAGCCAGAGGAGAGAGGGGTCCCAGGATGGCCAGTGGTCCAGCACAGAGAACCTGTCCTGCAGATATGAGCATCATATTTTGTTATTTCATTTAGGCGACATGTTGAAACAGATACTGTAATAGTTTGACTGTGAGCTTGTGTAATTAGAATATCTCTGGCCTGATTCCAAAGTTTAGTCAGGATAATGAAGATGACAGTACATCCGCAGGCAGGGAGATGAGGTGTAAACAAAGATGTTATCACTGTATAGATGGGAGACACTTCTCTAATTTGTACATGATGTATTTGATCAGATTTCCTGGAACAGCAGTTGCATTCTTGGCTTAATCACAGTTGGCTAATCATTGCTTGCTGTTGTCTCCCTGACTGTGATTTTGCTCTGTTACTGTCGATGTTGTCAGTGACCTGTATAAGAACCTCAACTAGATGTAAATATGCTACCATGTACTGAGAATTGAAACGTATTGTCTCTGGATTTTCCCTGCGTGCTGCCGCCTCAGCAACTCACTGATATTAAACCTCTCACTTCCTTTTTGAAGCCACTTTGTTTACCATGCTATTTTTACTGGAGGCTTCTGCTCGCTCACAGCCTCGGTTTACTGTCAAAATGATGTCCTGTTTAGCACGTGTCTTCTTTGGAACAACATACACCTGGGTTACTGTTCACATGCTGTAGTAATATTATTACGTGTAGGATTCAGTGGCTAGTGCTTCTTGCACTGAAACCAACTTCTGAAATACTAAAGTGGGTCCAACCAGAAGAAATCGTCATTATACTGTCATGCAAATTAGCCATGTCTGTAATATGAGAGGTTATGCATTGTATTTTAGTGAAAACATGATACAGACATGCAAATCAGGTTGGATTATTTTGTCTCTGAAATGGGTTTTGTAGCACAAGGCGAACACCGTCATACAAGCATGACTCTTTTCAAAGACAAAATCCTACCAACAAAACCAGTGTAAAAAAATGTCACAAATATACAGTAGTTAACAGGCGAATTGTCATTTTCCAACCTGTGGGTGTCTAGTTTGGGGAGTTTTGACACTATAGATGCTGTATAAGTTAATGAGGTCATACTGACACAAAACTGGATAAACATAACTGAATGCTTGTATTTTGTAATTCATAGTCTTCCCTTGTGATGCTTTTTGTTGTCCGTTCACCAGGTGAATCGTGTTTGTGAGGCGGTAGTTTGTGTTGCTGTTGATTCCTTAAGGCGTGTGTATGCACAAAAGGGAGGGTGGATATAATAATAATATCAACCCAGTTTAACAACACTCTTGATTGGTTCCTGATTGAGATGACAGCTGGAATAACAACAGATAAAGCAGCTCCCTGAGTCATAATAAACAGACTACTTTCCCATCTTGACAGACATGAGCATTTATGTGCCAAAACAGGTTTTACAAGACAGAAGTTACTGTCACAATCCAAAATGTCTGTGCAAAGACTGAACCTGCAGCTCCACAGCTTGTGATCAGCTCGGTTTCCTTATGAACGCCGGCGCCAAATCAAGTTCACTGATGATGTATTGTTTACACATAAGCTTCAAGACAGAGGGTCTGTGATAGAGCTGGTGGTCATTTGTGTTTGGGAAGTGACAGACTGCTCATTATAATTACAGTAGATTTTCAGTGGTTCACTATTCTTTCTCTTTTACCATTGTCATCAGTCATGATGAACCCTGTGGCACTGAAAGCACACTGACCGTTGACACCTGTGTATATATGAGCTATGATTTTGTGCCTCTAAAAGGTGACTTGTGGTGTTTTCATTCTGCTGGGTGAAGCAGGTTTGGGCTGAAGGTTTAGTGCAGGATCAGGTTATGTTGGAATATCAGTTCAGGGTTAGGTTGTTTTACCGTCACATCCTCGTTGGAATAGCTCTGATGTACAGATGCACACAGTGAACCCCAGGCAGAGCTGCTGCCATTTCATCACCTGACTGTCTCTTTACAATAGTGTGGGAGGACGAAACAGAAGGAGAGAGAGGAAGCATGAGACAGAAGAGAAAGAAGATGAATATTTGACATTCAAATCAGATTTAGGTTTATTTTTCCATGTGCCAAAAAAAATAACAAAATATAAAGAGAAGCGAGGGGGACTGGATTAGCCAGTGGAGTATGGCCTATATTTATTGATAATCTGAAGTATATTCTGTTAATGTAATGTAGAAATGTGCATCTAAAATTAAGGATTTGTAATTGCAAAGTATTTGAGATCTTCCAGAGTGGCAGTGGCATAGCTGACGGCCAAAATGACAAGTTATTGTTAAATATTTGAATTGTATGGCTGTTTTTTGCAGCATTAGAAGATGATTCAGTAGTAAAGTTTTATTTTTAGAAAAATTGTCACTGCAGCAAGAAAAAAATTCAAGTGGGAGATGAGAGGAAAGGATGCAAATAACACAAATAAAATTAAATAAATATCCTTTAAAAGTGAGAGATAAGAGAGGAGACTGATGAAAGGTCGGCCACCCACATCAGGTCTTCTTTCATCTGCTCTGTCTCTATCACACACAGACACACACACACACTCACTCACTCACTCACAGGCTTAGTCAAAATGCTGCCCACACAAAGGCATCTTCGCATCTGTTTGCTGTGTGTGGGAAAGCTTTTTAGACATTGCCTCATGTGTCAAACAATACACTAACACACACGGATGTGGAGTGAACTTTACTGAGAAACAGCACAAAATAAATAAATGGCAAGATTCTGCAATACAGACCAGCGTTCCCATGGCCTTGAAACATGTAGAAGAGTCGATAAGTTAGACTTTATATGTAAAATTTACATTGTTTACTAGATGTGACATTTTGCAACATGTTCAACATTTGCCAAGGGCGTGTCTGTTTTCAGGGTGTGTTTTTCACTCGTCATCTTTGGTTGAAGGGCTTCTCGGTAAAGTATATGATGTACTAATGTTGCCGAAAATGTCATTCAAGTCTCACTTAAGTATGAAACAGTGTAGTCATCCAGTATCTTTCAGTGGTTAAGACATGAGAGACAACTCATTCCTGTGATGAAGGCATCCTGGTATCTCACAAAAGGTAGTTCTGTGGAAATGGTGTCACCCCAGTTTTCAGTGAGAAAATGTTATTGCTGATACAGTTTAGCAGTGGTTCTCAGTTATATAAGGTGTGTGTGTACATGAAAAAATGCATGCAGCGATTTCTGCACGGAAACGAGTATTTCTCCGTGTGCGTCTGTGTGTGTGTGTGTGTGTGTGCGTGTAATTCCACACAAACCTTGCACCATTCATACAGAGATGTTTATGGGTCTCCTGAAAGGAGTGTGACATCATATTGAACCAAAGAAAATAATACCACCAAACTAAGAACTTGGTCAGCATTTTATTTGAAGCCTTAACACCACAGCTTTCAAATGGGTCTCAAAACAGCGTTGCAAATTAAATCATACAGTCATCCTGAAACAAGAATAGTATAATAGATTGAACATTTACGTAGCAATTAATATGGCTGACCTGTATGTGGATGCCTGCAGAGCTTTGGTGTTGAATCAATACACATACTAAGAATCTTAATACAATGTGTCTGCTTTGGTTTGAATGCTGTGGTTTTAAGACTTGGCTTGTGGAGAAATCACCTGATTAAAATGGGGATTTTTTTTTTTTTGTCTTTTGCAGGGCTGAGGTGCGGGGCTGAGAAACCGATTCACCACAGGACCATCAGGCTGGTTTCCCCCAACCTGGCCAGGCGTAGGAAAACCACCTCGGCTCATCTGGTAGGAGTTTACATGTTTTTAAGCTACTGTACCTGCAGTCTGATCCTGTTGATATCTAACATGTTATCTGCCATATTCTGTAACCAGTGGCTGTGAGAGCTGTATTTACCTAATGTGAGATGGAGTTATGTTAGGTTACCATTAGTGATAGTATTGGAGGCCTATTTAAAAGTTCCTAAGTGTTCAGTAGACAGGGAGCTCCCAGCCCGGTGTAAATGTGGTTTAGAATCCTACCTCACACAACCCTACTTCTGCTGCTGCCTTCTCATTTCCAGTAAGACTTGTTCATCCCACATTGATGTCATTTCTCCAGCAACAGCTATTCTCAAGTCCTGTTTTGTTTTTAGTTTGTTTTAGTAAATATAGAAGCTCAGGATATTTTTTCTTGTGTGTGACACATGATCATACCTAAAGCAGTAATGTAAAAATATATTGGTGTATTTAAGCCCCCTAACACATTCTTTCGATCTCTGTATGGAGGTTACAGCAGGGTAATGCCCATCTGTATGCCTCTGAGCAGGGCACCAAACCCTAACTAGATTGTTTTTTTTTTTTTCTGTCACAGTTCCCTGTCAGTAGGACCATAGTGCCACACTGGAACAACAGGGGGCCTGTATGTTTTGCTCACAACCACCCAATAGAATCACAACATGTGCCGTTGTTCCTGCCCAAGTTTCATAAACCAATCTGAGAGCTAATTTGGTTGTCCTTGAGTTATAGAACCCAAATCCTTGTAGCATTATGAATGCTATGTGAAAGCTGAAATGTATGGGAAACAGTAGAGAAGCCATCCTGAGTATTGCTTCAAATCAAATCAGGAAAAAATTGTTGATAGTAGCTACTGTGCATTTTTATTAATGCTGTAGGTTGTGTTAAGTTGTGCTACATGTGCCAGTCGGCCTTTCTGTACAGGAAGATTCTGCAGCTTTTATGCTCATACAGTAATGCAAAATTCTCAATTTCAAGGCACTAAAGAAGCTACTGTACATGGAGCATGCCAGCACCTGTGAGCTACATGTGATTTAATAGTTTGGGGATATTTTTGTAATTTAGAGGCCTTTTATAGTTAGTCTGCAAAAAAAAAAAAAAAAAAAAAAAGTTCAAACAAAGTAAATCACCAGGACATTTCATTGCATCTGTCTGCAAACCAACAAGCCATCCTCCAATCTCGATCCTAACCCGCCACCTCTTCTCTGCTTTACTCTTGCTGAGCTGTCCTCCCGTGTGTGCCGTTTATCTTTTAGTCGTCTCTCTCATGCTGGTTGACTGACACTGAGTGCTGCAGTGCTGCAGAATAATTAGCTAAAGTGGAGTCCATACTTTCATCACAAAATTGTAAAGATCTATAATGTAAGGGTCATGCTGTCAGATGGGAGAAAAAACATTCAATCCTGACATATGTTAATGTGTGTACATTGTGTGTGTGTGTGTGTGTTTAGCAGCCAAAATCTATACAGCAGCGGACCAAGCATTTAGAGCAGCTACAGATGAGGGTGAAGTGATAGTGCAGCAGGCAAGTAGAAGTATTTATAGCATTTACTGTAAGTGAGGCCAGATGCACAGTATGCCTGTTTGTAGAATAAAGGTGAAAACATGTGGTTGCAGGGCACAGACGGACTCGCACTGATTCTACAAGTGTGATTACTGCCTCAGTTGCAGTTTGTGTTAGTTACTATCTGGACTAATGTTTGACTGACCAGAACATGTTTACGCCTTCTTCAGTTTAAGTGTGATTAAGTTTCTCATGGCCCATGTTTTCCTGTCAGTTTCTTGGATCACTTACAAGAACATGTCAAATGTAAGAGGATTAGTGGTACATTTTCATTTTGTGTTTTTCTTACTCAGACTGGTGGTGGTGTTACTGCGGGCATGTACACAAAGCTACTGAATGTGATGAATTACTTAAGCCAGATGTAACATTTCTTCTTTTTTTCAAAACACTGGTTTCTTAGAAAAGCTTAATAATCCAATTTTGTGTTTATCTTGACCTTTTGGTATTTCTGACTTTATGCAGTATGCCCAATTAAAAGGCTTCTTTTCTGCCTAGTGACTCTCAAACTGATTTTTATAGCTTAAACCACAAAACAAATTACTGATACCAAAGTAAAATCCTGGTAATCTTAAAATGAGGGCTTTATAGTAAAAACAGCTTGTTAGTATGAAATATTTGCATGATGTGTTTTAAGCTCCCCAATGTCTAATTATTGTTCTATCTTAATCAATAAGCTGTCTTTGTAGTTTGAAAGACTGGGGGGATTTTCATCCACTGTGGGCAGCTGTAAGGCCAATTAGCAAGAGATCCCTTCGCTTTACTCCGTGCACAGGTGGAGCTGTAATTACAGCAATAGTTTAACACTTTGGTAATGTCACTTACACATCTGTGTAGCAATCATGAAGCTAGTTAGCTTAGCACAAAGACTGAAAATCATCTGGAGTAGTAACAGTAAAGGTGCTGATGGGTAGACTTCACCTTTGGACAGAGCTAGGCTAGCCATTTCCCTGTGGCTCCAGTTTTTATGCTAAGCTAAGCTAACCACCTGCTCAGAGCAAGAAATAAAATATGCACATTTCCCAAAATGTGGCACTGTTCCTTTAAGTAAAAAGACTTGTTTGTGAGTAAGGAATTAGTTTGGACACTATGTTTGAACATATCTTTAAAACTTTCTTACAGAAATTCACAGTTGGCATTGTCTTTGGATTTTGTGTGCACAGGTTGAAGTTTGGTGAAGTTATAGCTTTTATTTTATGCGAGATGTGAGGAGTGAAATCTAAATGAATAATACCTTGATAACTGGAGGCTAATGGAGGGTAGTTTTGTGTTGACAAATGAATTGAGATTGGAGCAGCTAAGAACTGTTTACCACAGTCAGTCAATACAGTAGCTTGGAGCTTTAGAGGAGGCCGTACCCTGAGTCATCAGGGTTTTGTCCATGCTATGGTTTTGATTCTTTTAAATATAAAACTGCATGTAGACCTGTGAAGCTTCATTTGATAGAGACCATTTCCAGTGCCTCTGGCAAAAGCGCTTGTGATTCAGAGCTCAACAAACTTTTGTCTTGAAAAATTCCAGTCTGTCTACAGACCTTCGCTGTCCCAACCTCTTTCTGTAATGTTTAAAACGTACTCCAGATGAATTGGTTTGACATATTAGGATTTATCTATAGTACATATAGAGAGGATCCCTTTACCTTTTGTTTATTTATTTATTTAATAATTTCTCTTATTAAATCCACTTCTGCTTAAGGGCAGGGGTACAGTTGTCACAGAGGATGATGTTGCTGTTAAATATCTAAATATAATTTGTTTCAGGTTTTTAGAGCAACCTGTCACTTTCTTTTCAGTAAAAGTATGCTAGTGCTTAAAGCTGCCCTGAGAGAGCTAAATGCAGAGCTACATGCAGATCCTTCCAGACAGGGAAGACGAAGCACCAGTCATCTATCAGAGTGGTTAATCTGGTCCTGTCCCTTCAGTAAATTATTCATTGTAGTTATACATCTTTGTCTTGGAGAGAAAAAGATCTCTAGAGTGAATGGGCATCCCCGTCATGCAGTTGTTAACTTTGGAGGAGAAGCTGATTGTGGTTGCTGCAGGTGTTTCTCTGCTGAACATTTTCATATTTGGGTTTGTTTGGTATTTCAGAATTCAACTCTGAAATATTTCTCCTCACATCCTGAGAATCCAATTTATTTTAGATGTTGCTGACATTAATATCTAATAATCGAGTATTGAAACTGAAAAAAAAATCAGGGTGGAATTGAAACAGCTTTTCATATCAATATCTTGAGTCTGAAACGAAGTGGCACTCCACTTTAAAGGGCAACTGACTAATTCATCTCATCAGCTCTTAGAATGATTAACAGCATCACGAGATTTGAGAAATGTCTGTCTGGTTTGTAGTCACTATAATGGCTCCAGCATGAGGAGAGAGGCTGAGTTATAAATGGAAGACTGTAATTTATCTTTTTGCACTTCTTACAAACCCTTTTAATCACAGTGTCCACCTACTGTGCTAAAGATGGCCAAAGACATTCATCCTCAGGAGAAGAGCCTGTCAGGTTGTAGAGAACCTAGAGACATTTGTCGTGATAGATGTTTGTCTATACGTACAGTGTGTGTGTGTGTATTGTGTAGTCACATGAGACAGCTCTGTTAGTGGGATTATAGTTGTCTCCCACACTACTAGATGTATGTGAATTAATATTTCAGTTTTAAGCCACTAAATCCTTGTTTTATCATTGGAAATGAAAACAAAATCTCCAAAGAAGGCAAATCACTGCAGTGAGCTCATGGAAGGACACTTGATTTGACAGTTAAAACTACTGAATTGGGATCAAGACATCTTAAAATTATCTCTGATTTTATCACTTGTTTGAAGAAAATAAGAACTGAAATGCTCAGCAGATCACTGTGCCAGACTGCAGCAGCAATATTTTTGCAGTAACAACAACAAAACTGAGTGCACCCATGGTCAGCGTTAAGTGCATGTTGGACCCCATCTGATCCAAGCAAATTTATTTTGGTTTCATCTGACCAGAGAAAGTGCTGCCAATAATCATCTACTGTAAACTTGCAGTTTGGTGAGCAGCGGTTTTCTTCTTGGCCGTCATCCGTAGAGTTGGACTTCAGGCAGTGTCGTTCACAGTGTAGTGAAGGACACTGCCAAGTAATCCTTGTGCCAAGTGGGAAGCACTTGCCCACCATTTATTTTTTTCCCAGTGCTTGTGTAAATGATGAAATGTGAATTTCAAGAATAGTCGCTGTGCCTTCTTTTATTGACAGTGTGGCCCTTCCTTTACATCCCAAGCATGGCTGCAGCTGTTTGTAGCTCTTGGTTTCTTTCTTACCAGGTGATGTCATGTTGCATTCCCCATACTCTACAGTAAGAGTTTAAGTCAAAAACATTTATTGCCATATGCACAGTTGGGAAAAACAGGCTTTTGCTGTATAATCAGGTTCTTTGTTTGTCCACTCAAAAAGCTGTAAAAACAAAGGCTAAAAAC